TTGCAAACTTAAGCTGTGCTGTCATGTTCTCTATAGAGAGAAGAAGCTTTCTCCTGGCAACCCTTCCAAACAAACCATAATTGTTCTTTTTCAAATTGTACTGTCATGAACTTTAAAGGATCACTATAGGGTCAGGAACACAAACCTGTATTCCTGACCTTATAGTGCTAAACCCACCTTTTAGATGGCTTGCACCCCCCTCACCCCCTATAAAAGTATGAAACTCACCTTATTTCCAGCGCCACAAGGGTCTGCTGGATATGGCCCCGCCCCCCTTGTGTCATCAGCAAAATGGCCAATTTTTAGCCAATCAAATGCTTTCCCATAGGGATGGACCTCCTCATAAAGATGCATTGAATCAGTGCATCTCTGAGGAAAATTCAGCGTCTCCATGCAGAGCGTTGGGACGTTGAATGGCAAAGCTGCCTACTGTGCAGCCCTGAGCACGGAAGCAGCTCCAGTGGCCATCTGAGGAGTGGCCACCTGGAGGTGTCCCTAGGGGCAATGTAAACACTGCCTTTTCTATGAAAAGGCAGTGTTTACATGAAAATGCCTGAAGGGAGCTATTATACTCACCAGAACAACTACATTAAGCTGTAGTTGTTCTAGTGACTATAGTGTCCCTTTTACATTTAACATGCTAACTGACTCCTGTAGAGTCTCAGATGTAACTTTTTTGCAATTTCTCTGGCATTGCATGGCAACTGTCTGGAATGTTTTGCACTTTTAAATAATCTTTCTCGTTGTAGAATGATGGACTTTAGATTGTTTGGAAATGGCCTCATTACCCTTCTTAGTTTGATGGGCAGAAGTAATTGCTTCTCTAAGATCATTGCTGATGTTTTTCCTCCTTGGCATTGTGTTAACACACACCTGAACCTAATACGGCGGGGGGGGGGGGGGGAGAGAGGGGGAAACCTAGGAATAAAACCCTACAAATATTGTTGGCCATAAGGCTTAAGGGCCTTACAAAACCTGTTATACCGTGTCTTTTGATATGATTTGACCTGTCTTGTAACCTTACTACATACAAATAAAGAATGTCAAAAAAAAAAACACACACCTGAACTATCCAGACCATCAAACTGCTAAAAGTTCTGCTTTTTTAGAGGTGGTCACACTTGCTGATGATCAATTAATCAAGGGCATTTGATTAGCGACACCTGTCTGCTACTTAAATCCTATAGAAGCAGTAAGGGTGTACTTCGTTAATTACACATGGCTTCTCCATTTTTGCTTTATTTTTTTAAAAATAAATCATGACACATTGTAATATATCACGTTTTGTTTTTCGTAAGAGGTTATATTTACGGAATTTTAAAACCTACTAAAGAACAGATGATTATTTTGTCCTGATATGTAAAACCATAGAATTCGAAGAGGGTGTACATTCTTTTTCCCATGACTGCATACTTATTTTCTTTGATTCTCACTATATACCATTACTTCTAAATATGCCATAGATTGCAGGTTAGATCTAAAAACATTTTTGGGGCTATCTGTAAGCATTTGCATCTCTACCTGGGAATCTGATATCGTTTTTGAAACATAACTTCACTTAATGTATGTGCCCAAGTTAGACATTCCAAAGATAGCAGGTGGTGCACAACAGTATTATTTTTTTTTTTTACCTGCATATAATTTTGCTGTTTTATCATATTTAGTTTCCCTACAAATTACTTGCCACATATATATTTATTGCAGGGTTCTTGAGACATTAATAATGATATAAGATGTCTGCAGAACCAATTCATGGTGTTTTTTCCCTCATAACATGCTTTTTATCATGAATTATTCTATACATATTTATAAATGGGTACAATCATAACCTAAAATGGTGTTCCAAAGCTGTTCCAAATGGTGACCCTGATGAAAGGTTGTTTGTGTTAAGTTTGGCCAAGCAGTCATAGTCAGTTGGGTGGGCGGAATGCAGCTGGATAGAAAATTAAATTAAATTAATTGTTGTGCAGCAGAGAGTCAGAAGGCACAATTAGGAGGCTGAAAACAGTAATTTTTCTTTAATTATTTGCTAACGCACACTCCATTC